GACGCGTTTCAGAAAGGCGGGGCATAGAGGAGAAACAATAATGTACAGTATGTGGAAAATAATGTGTTTTTTGAACCTTAAACCACATAAACACATTTCATTACACCAAATACACAAAATAATGTTCTTTTTAGCAACATCATATGACCCCTTTAAATAAAGCCTTTTAAACTGCCCACGGGGTGCTGCACTTACCAAAACCTGTTGGTGTGGTCCTTAGAGGCTTTAAGATGTTTTAAAACCTCTTTCCTTTATTAAATTAAGGCTTTAGTACCAGTGAGGCTTTGGATCTACTTCTATTTGGGTTCTAGAATAGTCTAACGTTTTAGATTTTCCCAGGGTGGCTAACAAAGCCTTTTGTTCACAGTGAAATGGTTTTAAATTAACAGTTTAAAATGTCTGAATGGAGGTGTTTAAGTCAATTGCAGAGTGTTAGCAGAGAAAGTGAAGCTTCTCTTGCTGTAGCATTCATTGATTATATACAGTGGTGTGAAAAAGTGTTGGCCCCCTTCCTGATTTCTTATTTTTTTGCATGTTTGTCACACTTTAATGTTTCAGATCATCAAACTAATTTAAATATTAGTCAAAGATAACACAAGTAAACACAACATGCAGTTTTTAAATGAAGGTTTTTAATGCATTACTGAACTACTGTACACTGGGAATCTCATGAATTTTGTTGTGTTTGATGAATGGTATCTGCTGAGTTTAATTTATATTCATTACGACAGCCTCTAAATATCACTCTGTGTGTGTTTTAAAGGGACGTAAAAGAGATGCTTGTTGAAAGTGTGTTTTGTTGCTCTGTTTGTCACTGCACGTCTCTGGAGTAATTGATGCGGTTATTCGAGGTTCACTTAAGCAGATGATGAGAAAGCTTGTATTCTATTTTTAGGAGGTGTGCCCATAAATATTCAGCGGTGCGTGTGCATGCATGTCTGTGGGTTTCACGGGAATCATGATATTCTTAATTAAGCTTAAGTACATTTCTATTGGCATATTGAAATGATCATTACTAACTTTCAAAGGTCAGAAGCACAATTAGACAGTGACCTTTGAATATTTGAAAAAGACATAATGGAACAGTACTTCAGCAAATGTTATAAAAGTGGTTTTAATATGTAGCCAGTACTGAACTAATCAGGATGAAATAGATTTTTTTTCTGCACTAATTGTCACGGTGCGTGCGGGGAGATGAAGCGAGGACTCAATTGCAGGAGAAATGGTTATTTATTTTAATAATAAAAATGAAACAAAAACAAACTCAAACCACCCCGAAGGGGAAAAACAGACAGGCAGGCCTAAAGCTGCACACATGCAGACACGAAACACACACAATGAGAAATGACGGATCAGACGCAGTGTCATTGTAGCCCAGCCCCTCTGCCGTATTCCTGAAGTCAATGGCAAACTCCCTCAGTTCGGTCCCTCGTTGGCGGAGGGAGCTCAGGGTCTCCAGCTGGAGCAACCCGCTGAAGACTGTGACACTACTCTTATCTCTAGTCTTATCTCTATATTATTAGCTCATACAACAGCCCCAAAAAGTATTTGGAAACTTATATAATTGTAATATAACTGATCACAGTGAAAACTGGAAGTTGTTTTTGCATTACTGTTTTATCTCTTTTATACAATAATATATAATATTATATTATTTTTAGTATAATACATTATTATACTATTTATTATGTAATTACAATTATTATGTAAACTTGTTATATATATTATAGGCCTATAAACATAAGTAACACCAAAAATTGTATGTCATTGCATTAGATAATAAGATCTAATATTAACCTAACATTTATGTATTTCTAATATTTCCTATATTATATTAGATGTTAAAGAAAGATGTCACAAGCACACTTTTCAAGCAATACATTTTCCAAAAAAAAAGGTTTGTTAGGTTGAAAACAATAGACGTGGTGTTTAAAATTAAAGGGAAAAAATGAAGAAAAATCATGCTGCTTGATATTAAATTAAATTATTAATTTTTTTTTATCTAATGCAAAGCTATTTATACATTATACATAAATTTATAAGTAGACCTATGCCTTAAGTGTCTAAATTCGTTTTGGGACCACTATATCAAGTAAAGCTCTAAATAAATATATAATCAGCATTCCACATTTTGCTCTTTGTCCTACTTTGGATTGAATTTATCAAGAGTTTCGCTTCTTCATGTCTCAAATTTTTTCGTGTCATGCATAAACTATTTATGATTGTCCACACCATAGTCATTTGGAATAGGCCTCCTTTTTCATTGCTATTTTTGTTGTTCTTTTCTGTGCTCACGGCCATTTTCCTCTGTTTTTTCCCGCAGGAATGACATGTCAAGCCCGAAGCTCGTACCTGAATTCAGAGGTGCTTTGGGGAGAACGTTTCACCCCTGTGCTCTCGCTGGAGGAGGGATTTTACGAGGTGGATTATGACACGTTCCACCACACCTACCCTGCACCAACCCTTTCCTGCTCCGCTCGCGAGCTAGCAGAACTGGCAAAGAAAGGGGAAGCTATACCTTTGCCCCCTATTTCACCTCCAGCAACCCTGGGAGAGCCCCCAAGCCCATGAGAAGATGCCTGAGGAGGAGACCAAGGCAGAAGAAGAAGAAGCAGCAGAAGAGACTGTTAGCAATGGTGATGTGAACAGAATGGAGTGTGTGCAAGAATAAGTTAACACATTGCAATCTGAAATCTGTGTGGCAGACGGAAATATACAGAGATACAAAAACTCAATTCAGCCACATAAACTGAGGAATAGTTTCAAATCTATAGGCCTGTAGGTCTACATTTTGTCATTGACCCCACACTGGTACTGTTATTAACTGTTTTCAAGAATAGAACAAAAGTGCATATGGTGAGGTTTTTAAACTTCAGGCGCAAAAATGCTAAAAACCTCTTTCAGCTTGAATTTAAATGCAGTTTATTTAAATAAGATGTATATATTCGCAGCTTTGTACTGTGAGTGCTTATCACGCTACTGAGCTTGCATCATTGCTTTTGAGGTTTAGAAGTATTTTTGAATCCAGTTTATTTATAGAGATTAAGATATAGTTTCAGATGGTGCTTTTAGCTACACTACAGCATTTTATGAAAGCTTGTTTCCACCACAGGATAACAAAAAAAGGGTGAATTGTGAAATTCTCACAACTCTGACTTTTTTTCTTGCAATTCTGAGAAAAAAAGGCAGAATTGTGAGATATAAACTTGCAATTGTGAGAAAACAAAGTCATCATAATTCTAACTTTTTTTCTCACAGTTCTGAGAATTACGAGATGTAATAAGTGAGATAAAAAGCCGCCATTACTTTTTTTCTTTCTTTTTTTTTTTAATTTCGGGTTAAAAAAAACAGAATTGCGAGATGTAAACTTGGAATTTGCGAGAAAAAAAAGTCCGAATTACGAGATGTAGGCCTAGCCTAAACTCAGAATTGCAAGGCGTAAACTTGGAATTGCAAGGAAAAAAGGTCCGAAGTTTATATCTTGCAATTATGACTTCTTTTTCCTCAGAATTCCAAGAAAAGAAGTCTGAATTGTGAGATATAAAGCTGCAGTTTCCTTTTTAATTGTTTTTATTTCGTGGCAGAAACAGGCTTCCCTAGCATTTTCTGTGTGAAACTGCTGGTAAAAAAGCAAACAAACATGTTTTTCATTTCATTAATGAAGGACATCACATTCCCTATAAAGGTCGTGTTGAATATGCATAGAATATGCTTTTAATTGCACATCATGTATGGAACTATACACACATGCTGTATAGAATATAATTTCTGTACCAAGTAGATTTTCTGTGTTAGCAAACAGCGACTTCTGCTGTTAGCGGACCTCACAAACAACTAGACTGATTGACAGTTTGAGTGAGATTTGCCAAAGGGTTAATGGTGGGAAATCATTTAATTTCTTCGAATGATGGATATGTAACACAAACACTAAAAGTTGGATATTAACACCCAACAACCAGAGCGCACAATGTAATTGTTGCTTGTTCATTTTATTTGAAATGTATGAAATGTACTGTAGCTACTATTTGGTTTAGTCATTTTCCATATCTTCTGTCTATCATTAATATTTCTGGCTGAGAAACACCCTCACTGTTATTTATAGCTCTTCTTTAGATTTTTTGTTTGCTTGGTTTTGTTATTTTTTAAACACCAGATTTAATAAAATGTTTCTGTTTTATTTTACATTAAGTGACAAATAAAGCGATTAAATAAAAAGATTATCCTTCTCAGACGTGTACTGTACTGAGTTTCTATGAGAATATGAAATAAGCATTATAAGTTAAAACAACATACAGTCATCTACGGGGGGGGGGCCCGAAATGCCACTTCAGGGGGGCATTTAAACTGGATTGTATCGTCCTCCCAGAAATGCCACTTCAGGGGGGCATTTAAACTGGATTGTATCATAATCTGGCTCTGTCTACATTGCATTTTGTCAGCTTTAAACCCAGTATTATGATGTGCAATGGTATAAGCAACTAAAGCACGTCCAGTTGGGTCATTGTTTAATGCATGGCAGAGTACAAACAATGTTCTCTAATCATACTTATCCCCAATGATTTCCAGTTGGTGATGTCTCCATACACATAGAAAAACAAGTTCAAGAGTTTTTAAGAGTGAGATTAACTGCTCTCCATGGCCTCTGCACTACTAGAACTGAATCTTTAAGGAATAGTGAATCATGCAGTGCATTAGTCTACATAGTTCTTCCCTCAAAGAAATATTTCCCTGTGACCTTAGTCATTTTTTTCCTAAAAATGATCTAATAACCATCCGCACGGGTTTAGCCACAATATTGAAACAAATTGTTTTTGTTGCCAGTTTGAATTGCAGTAAGTCTGAAGTTGTAGTCACCACCATTGCCTTTATTGTATTTCTTTCCTATCATCCCTCTTTGTAAAGTGATTCCCAGAAGTGTAAAGTATTTGAGTAAATGTAATTAATTACTGTACTTGAGTATCTTTTTGGATACTCTGTCATTTTACTGTGTATCAAAGATATTAGCAACTTTTACTCTCTACTTTTATACGATACATTATATAAATACAAATTATACATATACATTAATATTATTAATATTCTATTTTAATTCTACTTTATCTATATTTATCTTCTTTTTTATTTAAAAAAACAAACAAACACTAGCTTTCTATTTTTTCTATTCTATCTACTTGTTTTTCTTTGTGTGTGTGTGTGTGTGTATAAAATGTAAATTATGTATAATATAAATTATACATTTATATTATACACATACATTTTTTAATAAGTATCTGTACTCTTTACTCTACTACATTTGTAATGAGTGTTGCAATTACACATTACATTTTGCATGGTACTAAGCTTTTTCTGCAGCAGTTTATTTCTGCTACAAAAGAAGTGTTCAGTTTTATTTTGATTTTAGAAAATAAACGTGATTGCTCTTTTCACAAATCAGCTCTTTCTTGTTTTTCACTGGTATGTCTCTTTGACTAGTGCATCTTTGAGCCTATATTTAGTATAAGTAAAATAATTAAGTACTGTTAAAATCAGATAGGCTACTCTAAGACTTTTACTCGAGTTGTTTTGAAATTGGTGACTTGTAACTTGTAGTTGATGTTCCCTGTAAGGTAACTGTACTTTTACGCGAGTATGGTTTTCAGATACACACCTCTGGTGATTCCTCGTAAATTAAGTCCTTTGAGTTTTGGCTTAAAGTCTGTGGACACCCAGATGACTTGTTCCATTTGGCTGTCCAAAAACATGGTATCATTACAGTGGTAATATCACTAATATGAACAAAACAGTGTAGTCTTTCATACACTTGCATCAAATTGTATTTCTATGAAATAACTTGAATGACGGAGTTGCGTGATTGTATTGTACTTGCAAAGTCTCCCACTAGACGGCGGGACAACGAACATGAGCAACGTTTTTTTTTTACAATTGCATTATGGGAAAAGACGTTCGACGCATGTGGCATCCTGATCAGTGCTGAACAAGTCCGGAGGAGAAGCGGCGGGAGTGTATAAACTGCAGCTATTTGTTTAATTAAATCAGGATTAGCCATATATACTAAAGTAAAATGAAACCAGGTAAGTTATTTATAGTTTTGTATGCGTATAAGGTTGTTTTGATTGTCGCGCGATAAAATATGTATTTATAAGTGTTTTTGCTCGCGCGTGAACATTCCGGCCAAGTTAGCCACGCGCTTAAAGCTTTGTGTACGACACGCTCTTTCTATGAAATGTTATGACATTGTTATTTTATTACTGTCTTTAAACATGTTAGTGTGGTCTCTTAAAAACCTTGTTTCAGTGTAGGCTATGATATTTCTTGCAGTGTATAACATTGCGCGTGCAAGCAACCGAGTCATGCTGCGCACGCGGTGCGGAAGTTCCACATGGCTCTAAACTAGATTAGCTAACGTTATTGTTTCTAAGATTAATCTTGTTTACTTAGCCGCGTTGTTTTTATTATTAAAATTAAAAATGAAATTTGTCGTTTTTATTCGTTTGATTTTGGCTGGACATTGTGCACAATGTTTATTTTCATTGCTGAGTTTCCACACGTTGTTGAGGAGGACCACATGGGTTTAGAAAATGACCTCGCCTGTCAGACCTTATGCCTGTCCACAACCTAGTAAAACGACTAGTTTTGGATCATTCGGCTACCTGCAGCAAAGACATATTACACACAAGCTAAAGTTACCAATGCATGGTATTTAACTTCGTATAGAGTTAGTTGTGGAGTCGAGTTGAGGGCATTTAAAGACCAGAGCTCAGTTGCAGCCCTTGTTTAGAATAGTATTATCTCTAATGGCTTTCTTTGTGAAAACAGTTCTAACTGAAGGTTTTTCTAATATAAGGGGTTAGTTGAAGCTGAACATCAGAATGAATTAATATTTGATTCCTCTTTACAGGATTCACCCCAAGAGGAGGTGGTGGTGGTCGAGGAGGCTTTGGAGGAAGAGGAAGAGGAGGAGGAGGAGACCGGGGTGGTAGAGGAGGATTTCGAGGAGGTAGAGGTGGTGGTGGTAAGCAAGATTTTTATTTTTCACTTTGCTTGGAACATTTGGGTCAGACATGGAAATGGAAAAAGTCACTAAAGATTTGTTTAAAAAAAAAAATATTTTTTAATATTTAACGTGTGTGTGTGTGTGTACTGTGTATACAGTACTGTGCAAAAGTTTTAGGCCATTAGTATTTTCACCAACAAAAAAATGGTTTTAAGCCAGTTATTTCTATATTTTGCTGTAGTGTGTCAGTAGGAAATATCAGTTTGCATTTCCAAACATTCCTTTTGCCATTAATTGTAGTTATCCAGTGAGATTTTTGTATGCACAAGGAGTCTGACAACAGCCAGTGCTCCACACAGAGATCTGATCTCGCCATTATCCAGTTAATCTGGAATGACATGAAGAAACAGAAAAACCTCAGACAGACTAAATCTAGAAGAACTGTGGCAACATCTCCAAGACACTTCAAGAATCCTACCTGCAAAGCTACAGTACTGTGCAAAGTTTTAAGCACTTGTGTAAAAATTCTCTAAAGTGAGGATGCTTTAAAAAATAATGTCATAAATAGATTTTATTT